GGGAGCCGCAGGGCACCCACAAACATCTGCTCTGCCCCCACCGTAAGCCAGCTGCTGATAGTGGGTAGAAGGACAAAGATTGCATGGGAAGTCGGCCAAATGGTGATGCCAAATAGGCAGTTTAGAGGTAAGCAGGCTGGAGAATTGCAAAGGCCTGTGAGTATGCAAAGGCTGGGGGTTTACAAAGGCCTGTGGGTGTGCAAAGGCTGGGGGTTTGCAAAGGCCTGTGGGTATGCAAAGACTCGGGGTTTGCAAAGGCCTGTGGGTGTGCAAAGGCTGGGGGTTTGCAAAGGCCTGTGGGTGTGCAAAGGCTGGGGCCTTCAAAGGGCCTGTGCTTTGAGGGGTTCGGAAAAAAGGGAAAATCCCGTTGACATTCCAAGGATATGTCATCGTAGAGGCAAAGAGACAATAGGCTCTGTTAAGGTAAAGATGGACCTTTGCCAGGGAGGATACCGGCCTGGGACATGGCTACCCACCATACACTGCTGTCAGTTACAGTGTTAATTTCAGACCATCCTCCGTGGTGAGTTAAGTTCTGTGAGTTTGCAAAGGCCGCCACCCAGGCCTCCCCCGAGCTCATCAGGTTGGCGCGAGTGGGTCTTTCCATCCACGGCAATTTTAGAGGCGCCTGGAAGTTTGCAGAAGTTGGGGCGTGCATGGGGGGAGCGCTGGGAATAGGAAAGTAGGTTAGTCGAGGAAGGGAGACAGGAGAGCGGAGGGAGACAGCGATGCGAGAGAGCTAATGGGAAGCTTGGCAAGCAGACGAGACGCGGTGGACTTTGTGCAAATGCGGAATCGCAGGCTCCATCCGTCACGGGGTGGGGGTGGGGGGGCGGACGTGACAGCGCAGTGTCTGCTGTTTATTGGGCTCCTCGGATGTCAGCCACGGCACCGGCATCCGGTCTGTGACGGAGGCTTGGTGACCACCCCATTTTACAGGTGAGGGGACTGAGGTTTGGGAATCCGAGGCCGTGCACCCAGCATGTGGGCCGCAGAGTTTACCCGCCAGGCTCTGGGGCCTGAGCCCTGTGTGTGCCAGGAAGAGAGGACCGAGGGTTAGGGTTTTGTTCTGTTTGTTTGCTTTTTAGCTTAAAGACGATAAGACCCAAAGCTGAGAGGAAGCTAAATAAATACTTTCTAAGTATTAGAAGGATTTGGGGGGCCGGAGCATCTGTCATTTAGTTTTTTCGTTCTCTCTCTTTTTTTCTTTTTCTTTTCTTTTTTTTTTTTACAGAGAGGAAGGGAAAGGGATAGAGAGTTAAAAACAGAGATGAGAGAGAAGCATCGATCAGCTGCCTCCTGCACACCCTCTACTGGTACATGCCCTTGACAGGAATCGAACCGGGGACCCTTCAGTCCGCAGGCTGACGCTCGATCCACTGAGCCAACACAGAGAGAGCATGCTCTCTATTGAACCTGGGACCTTTCAGTCCACAGGCTGACGCTCTATCCACTGAGCCAAAACAGTTAGAGCTCATTCTCTCTATTTAAAATATATTTGTATTGATTTCAAAGAGGAAGGGAGAGGGAGAGAGAGAAACATCCATGATGAGAGAGAATCATGGATCAGCTGCCTCCTGCACACCCCCTACTGGGGATGGAGCCTGTAACCCAGGCATGTGCCCGACCGGAATCGAACTGTGACCTCCTGGTTCATAGGTCGATGCTCAACCACTGAGCCACACCGGCCGGGCTGCCATTTAGCTCTTTAGAAAAGAGCGTCCACCCCGTATAAACGTCCGAATGGGACCAGCAGGAGGCACCCCATCGCCAGGTGGCTGTGCCAGGGCCCAGTCTCTGCCATGAGGCTTAGCAGCATCAGATGAGGTTGGCGGTGATGGGGTGGATGGAGAGAAAGGGAACGGGGGGCGGGAAGAATCATAGATTCTATATTACCAGCCCCGCTCAGCTCGGAACGTGACATTTTCCCCCTTGGCTTTAAAGTTCTGACTTCCCCACCAAATATATATATTTTTTTGTCTTTTGCGTAAGTACATCAAGTATTTTTTAAAATATGTTTTTTATTGATGTCAGAGAGACATCAATAAAAAAGGGAGAGAGAGAGAAAGAAACATCAGTGATGAGAGAGAACCATGGATCGGCTGCCTCCTGCACGCCCCGCTACTGGGGATGGAGCCCACAACCCGGCCTGTGCCCCGACCGGGAATCGAACTGTGACCTCCTGGTTCATAGGTGGACGCTCAACCACTGAGCCACGCCGGCCGGGACGCTCAACCACTGAGCCACGCCGGCCGGGCCATAAAATATTTTTAAAAGTGTGAGCTAAAAGAATACCACCATCCCCCATGCTTCCCCTCTTCCGGACCCCATAGTTGGGTGAGCTGACTGGTACAGGCCTTGCAGTTCCTCTCGCTGCCAGGTGGTGGCGCTGTTCTTTTAGTTATCTGGGGCCACTGGAGGCCAATATTTATTGGAGGCGAGTCATTTGTTTATCAGGAGGTTATTTTAATCTAATTTTGCCCGCATTTGCCATTCCACGCTATCTGCGCTTCCCAGCGTGAGCAGCTAGCCTGTCTTGAAGGAAATTAGCAGATGACGGTCTCAGAGGCATTGGCGCAGCCATTATTTAAGGGGATGGGGAGGCGGCGGGTGCCTGGAGCTGGGGGCTGGAGGAGCCTCTGGAATTGGCTGTGCTCCCTGGGAGGTTAGCAGGATTAGAAAGGACTTGGGGAGGGCGGGGCGGGGCCGGCGGGGAGAGGGGAGGCTCCCAGCAGCAGCTTTTGGGGGGGCTGCCTCAGGTAAGCAGCCCCAAGTCTTGCAGTTACCTTTCCCCGGCTTCCTCTCACCTTTCGGATAACCTGCATCTTCCTGACCTTCACGGCCAAGGTCAAAGGCAGACCTGACACGCCCGTCTGCCTTCCCACCGTCCACACACATCCTCCTCCCCTTCCAGAATATGTCTCTTGAACTGTGTCCTGGAGGAAGCGGGCAGGAGGGTGGGGAGTGGGAGAGAAAATGTGTGTTAGAGCATCTTCCGTGATCATGGAGCGTGGTGTTTAATTATAGACCGTGGCCCAGCGGCTGTGGCACAGTGGTTGAGCGTCGACCGATGAACCAGAAGGTCATGGTTTGATCCCTGGTCAGGGCACATGCCCAGTTTGCAGGCTTGATCCCCAGTAGGGGGCGTGCAGGAGGCAGCCGATCCATGATTCTCTCTCATCATTGGTGTTCCTAACTCTCTCTCTTCCTCTGCCTTCTTCTCTGTCATCAATAAAAAAAATATATTAAAAAAATATTAAGAAACAGGGTTTTCCCCCCCTAGAAAGTTTTAGCAGGAAGCGAAACCTTACCAAACCAAAGTACCGCTGGTCTGTTTTGAGGAGGGCTGGGGGACCTGCCCTGGCCCACCCCCAATCTTCCAGCTCACCCCAAACAGTGTCGGGAATCTCCCGTTTTCCCTCGCTCTTTGGGCTCCCGCAGAGAAGCCGTGTGTTCCTCCCAAATTTTCTAGAGTCTTCCACGTTGCCGACCCCAGGGACCCCCATTTCATCCACCCTGTGCCTCTCCTCTATTTATATTCGCTCTCCCTCCGTGCGATGCAGGTCCTTTGTCAGGTTTCAGATAAGTATGGGCCTTAGCAAAACTCCCCAAGCTCCTCCAGAGAAAGATGGGCTGATGTGAGGTGATGGGGAGGTGGGGGTGGGATGGCTATTTCCGATGTTAGTAAACATGACCGCTTACTGAGGATTAACAGGAAATCAAGAATAAAGTCACTGGGATTTGATAAGGGTTTTGTTTGTTTTTTCCTCTCAGATACTTAAAGATTTTTTTCCCCCATCATCCCCCTCATCCTTCCAAAAAGTCTGAAGGTCGTTAGGATAGAACGTACCCTTACACAGATAAAAACAAAAGTCCTTTATCTCCCACGTGGCGTCCCTGGGCAGTTTTAGCCAATCTGGCATCTTCTCAGTGGGCGATTCTTCCCTTTAATACACTGGTTCTCAACCTTCTGGCCCTTTAAATACAGTTCCTCATGTTGTGACCCAACCATAAAATTATTTTCGTGGCTACTTCATCACTGTCATGTTGCTACGGTGATGAATCGTCATGGAAATATCTGATAGGCAGGATGGTCTTAGGCGACCCCTGTGAAAGGTTCGTTTGACCGCCAAAGGGGTCGCGACCCACAGGTTGAGAACCGCTGCTTTAATACCTCCCACTGAATCTTCTGTTTTCTTTTAAACGTCAGCTACCTGGCAGGCTGGACCTCATGCAGGCGGCAAAGAGCTCAGAGCGCGTTGTGGCCGGGACTGGCCCAGGAGAGAGAGGTTTCTGATGCAGTAGAATAATTCATTCAAGGAGGAATGAAGTCGATGGAAACCTTTCCCCAACAGATGACGTGTGAATAAAGCTCATCTCTCTCAGGGCAGGGTCCTGGCTGAATAAAATGTTGAAAAACATAAAAAAAAAAATTAAAAAGGAAAACCAACTGAAGAAATGGGTCAAAAATCTCAGAGCGGCTTCGTCAGGCCTGACCATTTAGAATTTGACAAAGAAGCAGGAAAGAAAGAGAGAGAGATACTGAGAAAGCTTTATTAATATGAGAAAACCCTTCTGGGATAAAGCACTGAATTTTCAGGTTATGTTTTCACTCCTGTGCACTTACGTGGTCTGAGGGAAGGGTCTGAAATTCATGCTTGTCTGATTCAGCTCAGGGGGTCTTTCCTAAACACTTGGCTAGAAGCATGTATTGTCTCTCTCTCTTTTTTTAATAGAGAGAGAGGGAAAGAGAGAGAAAGAGGGAGGGAGGTGTTGATCCACTTACTCATACATTCATTGGCTGATCCTTGTATGTGCGCTGACCGGGGATTGAACCCATAACCTTGGTGTCTCAGGATGATGCTCTAAACCACTGAGCCACCTGGCCAGGGCTTGGTGATGCACATTAATCACTCAATTTGGTGGCACCGGCCAGTGTTCTCCCCTGGACAGTTATGACCATTCCCTTTGTCATTGACAAGTGTCTCCGGTGCCCCCAGGGGAGCCCGTGACCGACGTCGCCTTTTCCCGTTGGTTTCAGAGTCTAACAGCCGCAGGGCGGTGAACAGGGGCTACGTCGCCAGCTTGCTCCGGCTGCATCAGGACTGGCACAGCCACGACACGGCCAACAGCTACCTGCCGATCCGCCGGGCACTTCTGCTCTGCCTCAAGCACATTGCCACCCTCCAGTCTGGCAGGGAGGCCTTTCTGGCAGCCCAGGGCATGGAGATCCTCTTCAGTAGCACACAGGTAACCAGCGTGGGAGTCACTTCCGCGTCAGAGATAGTTATGATGGTGAGGGTGATGATGGTGGTGATGGTGATGGTAATGGTGATGATGGTGGTGATGGTGATTATGATGCTGATGGTGATGATTATAGTGATGCTGATGGTGATGGTGATAGTGATGCTGATGGTGATGATGGTGGTGATGGTGATGGTGATGGTGATTATGATTATGATGATGGTGATTATGATGCTGATGGTGATGGTGGTTATGATGCTGATAGTGATGGTGGTTATGATGCTGATAGTGATGGTGGTTATGATGCTGATAGTGATGGTGGTTATGATGCTGATAGTGATGGTGGTTATGATGCTGATAGTGATGGTGGTTATGATGCTGATAGTGATGGTGGTTATGATGCTGATAGTGATGGTGGTTATGATGCTGATAGTGATGGTGGTTATGATGCTGATAGTGATGGTGGTTATGATGCTGATAGTGATGGTGGTTATGATGCTGATAGTGATGGTGGTTATGATGCTGATAGTGATGGTGGTTATGATGCTGATAGTGATGGTGGTTATGATGCTGATAGTGATGGTGGTTATGATGCTGATAGTGATGGTGGTTATGATGCTGATAGTGATGGTGGTTATGATGCTGATAGTGATGGTGGTTATGATGCTGATAGTGATGGTGGTTATGATGCTGATAGTGATGGTGGTTATGATGCTGATAGTGATGGTGGTTATGATGCTGATGGTGATGGTGATGATGATGGTGATGGTGGTGGTGATGATGGTGGTGGTTATGATGCTGATGGTGATGATGTTGGTGATAGTGGTGATGATGATGGTGATGGTGATGGTGATGGTGACAGTGATAACCTCCAGTCTGGCAGGGAGGCCTTTCTGGCAGCGCAGGGCATGGAGATCCTCTTCAGTAGCACACAGGTAACCAGCGTGGGAGTCACTTCTGCATCAGAGATAGTTATGATGGTGAGGGTGGTTATCATGGTGATAATGATGGTGATGGTGATGCTGATGCTGATGGTGATGGTGGTGATGATGGTGATTATGATGCTGATGGTGATGATGGTGGTGATGGTGGTGATGGTGGTGATG